CGAGGATGCTCCGCTGAAGTCGATGGATAGTGTATCCTTCCGCGGGGCTGTGAGGCTTCGGAGCGCGCGTGGAAGTTTGTGTTGATGACGAATTTAGCTACGTCAACGGCCTCACGAGTTGGTCGTACCACGTGACTCCTTTAAGAAACTGAAGATTAAAGACTTTTAATGGAAGGACGGAGAATTAGAGCCGCGGTAATACAACTGATATCACTTATTTTAGGAATGACGTGGTTCTACTGAACTCTGGCTGAGGTCGCAGTTTTGTTCAATACGTTTTAGGTAAGTTTATAAAGAGTTTTACAAAAAGATGACCTGAAACAGAAATGTTAGAAAGTTTCTCTCAGAAGTGACAAATAAATGCTGAAGTCTTTTATTCATGCTTGGGGACATTTCGTCCAAACAGACATTCAAATATACGATTGTTATTTTGTATCCAAAAAACAGCAGAAAATAGGTCAAAATGATTCAACAGGATTGAAAATCTTTTAATATATAATTATAATGTAAAACAGAATAAATCAGTAACTGTGGGGTTGTTGTTAAAACAGTTTAAATGTCAGGTTAGGAGGAAGTGAAACTTTCAAACATCTATAAAAGGTCTGCAGGGCAGTGGATCTGTGACTTTTCGTGGTCTGACACTTGAATACTGCTGTGTGCTGCTGTGCTTCACCTTTGCAGTAACACCACATCCAGCTGATCGTGGGACATCAAAGAGGACTTGTTGCAGTGGTTTCATCCTGTTACAGCATCGGAGCTGAATTCTCAGCTGCTTTACTCACTGACCACAAATCACTCATTGGTTCAAAGTAGAGCAGTTACAGAAGCATCCAGCAGAGGGCAGCAGATGAGAGGGGAGCCACAGACACAGGATCCACACAGCTCATCACTCCGAACATGTGTGTGAATGTAAAAGCCCCACAAGGGACAAAGTTTGGAAATTAGCAATAGCCATAAACTCTGTTGAAATGACAGAGCAGGTAATACCAGGTCCAGGTTTCCCTCTTTCAAATGTAATTGCAAATTAAACAGGAGCTTTAGGATCATGAGTGCAGGGCGATAAATCCCAGTTTTAAAGGAAAAACTGCATCTGGAGCCATGTGTTTCTGGATTGTGGCCACTTTTGGAACAGCAGGAACTCCAAAGATTTCCTTCAACGTCAAAGTGTACTACACTTCAATGAATCTAAGGGGACTGGTGCATAAGGGGTTAAAGTGGAATTAAAATAACTGCCTATAAGTGCAGTGGTGCTCGCTGAGGCCCGAAATGGTCTCAGAGGAAGAAGAAGCCGTTCTTCAGGAAGGGAATCCCACGATCCACCATCTAATACCATCTGGAAAGAGTCTGCTTTTTCAGCAGTGATCCCAAACGCACCGCCAATGCAGTGAAAGGATAGAAAACACTATCATTCAAGAATTGGCCTCCACTCAACAGTGTGGGATCATCATGATAAAGAAAGGCTGCCAACATCCAAAGAAAAGCTTCAAGAAGCCTGTTACTGATGACTGTGGTGGAGATTATATCACACATATGTTCATTGTCCTAGTGAAATATAAAGATTCAGCCCCGCAGAGCTGATGGTACTTCAGTCACACATGAATTATAGTCTTTGTGTGGTGACAGTAAAGGTAACAGTGCTGCAAACACACACACACACTAATTCCCAATAAGCCAATCAGAGCTGCCTGTTAAAGGCTGCTGTGTGTTATTAAGGCTACACTGCTGACTCAGGAGGATCAGAGGAAAACCAGCACGGCTCTTTCTAATCTGCTCCTCCTCACTTTTCACTACTACAATCACTACTTTCACACCACTCCTCACACTCTTTCTGTCCTTTTCCTCCACCACATTTCCATCCTTCCTGTAAAGCTGTTATACCTTCTTCTG